GTTTATGCAAAGAAGGGGAAAGTAACGACCAAGAAAGTGCTTAGAGCTGGCGGAGCCGAGGAGATAGATGGCATGTGGGCCCAGCGATCTCGGCAAGGTCAGAGGGACTTTCCGGGGATCCAAGGTAGTGAATGTATTCAAGTCTCCCTGGTCTGCAGCCTTACCTGTGACCCGTCAGTGTCTTCTAAAGTTTCTCTTTTGCCCACAGGCTCTGCCATACACATAACTAGCATTCTTGCTTGTGGGCTTTGGAAAGCTTTGGCTGGCTTTCCTGCCTGGGTGTGCTTTGCTCTAGGCAGGCTTCAGTGTGCAGTAGTTTCCTACATTTCTGCTGAAAAAACGACACCCGTCAGGTGATTGAGGAAAAGAGACTGAAGGTCATGGTGGCTAGGGTCTGTAGCCTAAAAGAGCAAGAGCAGATATAAAGTGCTGGAAAAGCCTCAAAATTTGTTCACTATTACAGAAATTTTCAGTCCTAACTAAGTTTCCCCATATAGTTGTAGAAGAAATGATAAAACTGAAACCTTGCTGTAGCTAGAGTTTTTCTTCCTGGCCCACAGTCAGGACAAATCTCTCTCACCTGCCAGTCCCACAGCCGCTCAGACCCAACTAAGTAAACACAGAGACTTATATTGCTTACAAACTGTATGGCTGTGGCAGGCTTCTTGTTAACTGTTTTTATATCTTAAATTAATCCATTTCTATAAATCTATACCTTGTCACATGGCTCCTGGCTTACCGGCATCTTTACATTTTGCTTGTCATGGCGGTGGCTGGCAGTGTCTCCCTCTGTCTTCCTCTTCTCTCAATTTTCCTCTCCTTTAGTCACACCTATACTTCCTGTCTGGCTACTGGCCAATCAGTGTTTTATTTATTGACCAATCAGAGCACATACAGACCATCCCACAGCACCTTGCAATGAGAGGAGTCCTGTAGGCAAGAGATCTCCGGCCTCCCTCCTTGCTGTGCTGATAGTACAAGCACTACATAGCCAAGCCCCGTCTCCTGAGGCCCTTTTGCCTTGGGACTCTACAGAGAATGCATTGGCTATTATTTTGAGTGCTTACTGATGCCTTAAAGCTTTGCCTCAGCTTAGTAGCCCATGACATTTGAAGTGTGAAATATGAAGCACCCATGTTAAAGATTCTGCAAGGCTGGCTAAAGTTCTTGTACATGGAGAGTTGGAATGCTGCAATCTAGAACCAAAGTATCTTGGGTTATCTTCAGCCCCTTGTAGTAGCCACGTTATCCACCTGTGTGTCTCACCTAGCTTCCTTTGACTATCATGTAAAACCTTTGAGAAGTATTAACTTTTATAGATCACTGAATCCCACCAAACTCAAAGCTAGGAGTGTCATCAGATAGAGTCTGCAACCTATAATTTAGGTTTCTACACTTGGCTGTAACTGCCTATCCGATGTTTTCACTAGTGTATTGAAAAGTGCCCTGATTTTGTTCTGTAATTATAAAAATGTCATGAAATTGTGTTCACATTAGAACATGGCATTTGAGGTCATTTGAACCCGTGTTCCTGGGCTCTGTTCACTCATACTTGGCCCAAGACTAAACTCTTCTCTTTTTCCTTTTGAGGTGTACTTTGTATTGCCAAGTTTGTAAATGGGACTTTAGTTAGCCTGATCAAAACAGTTTTTTTAAGGCCATAGAATAGAATTGATTTGTGTAGAATCCTCTTAACATGTTATAGGCTCCTAGATAATAATTATATGTTAAAGATCATAATGTAAACCTGGAATGTTTTTTTTTTTTTTTTTTTTTTTTTGGGTAGAATTCAGTCCAGCTATAAAAAGCCACAAACATCTATCTTGTTTTCATTAACTGCTTTCATTACACCACCTGTGCCTATCTGCTAGGAGTTACAATAAATGCTTTTGTCTTCTTGTCCACCAGCTTTCTGTCTGGAGGCTGCACACACTTCTGTTTGCTAGCAGGATGGCCTCTGACCTTTTAATTGAAATATCTCTAGGGATTGTTGGGCTTGCACTAGGACAAGTGCACAGCTGTCTGCAGCCCTCCTTGGAGTAGAGCTGGAGATAAATACTTGCTGCCACATGTACCTTCTCAACAGTTCTGGCCATAGCAGATGGCTTGTAGACATTTCGCCAGTGGCCCACAAAAGGGAGACTTTCCTTCCCCATTAGAAAGAGTCTGACTGGATCTACTCAGCACTAGAAATGAGTGCCTATTGTTACATGCAGCACTGTGGACAAGTCTGAAACTGACCATTACAGCAGAAGAATACATTCTGTGTGCTGCCATGCTTGTAAATCATAGGGGACGCAAGTGCCTTGAGAGTGATGGACGAGATTGTTAAAGATGTGGGGATCCAGGGTATACGATATTTTATTATTGTTATTATTGGTTTTTAATACTGATTTTGAACCCAGGGCCTCTCACATACATACTAGCTGAACACTCTTGCCAGTAAGCTACATCACCCGGCATTTAAAAAAATTATTTTGAAACAGGATCTTGCTAAGTTGCCCACATTGACTTTGAACTTGATATCTTCCTGCTGGGATTACAGTTATGTGTTTGTATTCCTGGCTCTGTCTTTAACTTGAATGTGGCTACAGATTCTTATGTGTATACATCTGTCAATATCTGTCAGTTGATGTATTTTCTACATGTATAGTAGAATGTTTTTCTGTTATACCATGTATATACTAGATGGGGAAATAAATTATTATTTTTAACAAAAATTAGTCAGAGCCACAGACAACAGTTAACTAGAAAAAGAAATTTCAAATTGGACAGAACAAACTGAAAACTCCACTTTCACAGAAAAGGCTCCATGTCTCATGACTTGCTTTCATATGATTTTAATATTATTGTTTTGAAGCAGGGTTTCACTGTATAGCTTTAGTTAGTCTGAAACTTGCTGTGTAGACCATGCTGGTCTCAGACTTGTAGGCAATTCTCCTGCCTGTCTCTCAAGTGCTAGATTTACAGTCCTGTGCCATCACTGCCAGCTTCTATCTTGAGTTTTGATTGGTGGTCAGGGAATTCTGTTTAAATTGTCAAGATTAGGGATTTAGAACAGGGCAGACCTGGGTTTGGCTTAGTTACCTGCCCTAGCTGTGTGACTTTGGGCAAGGTAGACTCTCTCTCTGTTTTGGTTTTTCCTTCTCTGGGAAACAGGACTGTAGAAGCATAGTGAGTGCTCTGAAGATGGAAGCAATTGCTAACACTTTCAGTAATTATGTGTCTTGATTTCTGTGGGGCTCAAAGTTAGATGGTCTTGAGCAAGAAAATAGAGTGTCTTAAATTTACAGGGAGTTGGTTTCTGTGGAATTAGCAGAAATAGGAAGAGAAGACCCATCCCGGGGAGGGACAGGTGCTCAGGTGAGTTGTGTTTCTTCTGTGTGCCTGATAGGATCATCAAGCCACTAGGGGACTTCTTATCTGCTCTCTCTGCTTTCAGGTCACCTCCACCCTACTCAGGCATCATTGTTTTGAGTTCATTAATCTTTTTTTTTGCTAAATAATGGTATCATTGCTCAAAAAGACCATATTTCTGATTGATTATTGAAGATCAATCCTGACATTTAGTAGGTATTGCTTTTTGTTTGTTGATATTAAACAAAATATATTTGCCATTTACTGTAGGAAAAATGTTTGTTGTTTTTAAATGTTTTGCTTAAATTTGAAAGACTTTGTTTTATTAACTTGTTAGCTGTTGATAATTTATAAAACTAACAGCATGTACTAATAGGAGAGTGAAAGTTGATCTCGTTGTCCTCAGGTAAACATTGTGGTTTGTGAAAACAGAACTCTGAAACTGGGTGGAGATCTAATTCAAGGGTTTGTTGATGCATTGCAGATGCTAGCCAGAGGACAGTCTAGGTTCTCCAATAAGTTTTTTAGAATCCTAGCAACAGGAATAGTGAAGTAGTAGAAATAGGTCCACTGGGCCAGATTGAAGGGCAAATTTGGTACTGGAATTTGAGGAATGTGTAAGCTGTGTATGTTGAATCTCCTTACCTATAGGTTAGGCAAACATTATGCCAGATAAAGAGAGCCTGGGATTGGAAGGCATTCTGTAAGGAGTGCTGCTCTGGATTGGTGAATTATATGTTTTCTTTGGGCTGCCAACTCACAAATAACAACATGGAGACATTAATTTTGAATGCTTGGCCTTAGCTTAGGCTTGTTTCAACTAGCCTTAGATTAACCCATTTTATATTAATCTATGTTCTGCCACATGGTGTTACCTCATCTCCATACACACTGCCCATCCTGCTTCCTCTGTGTCTGCCTGGCGACCTCTTTCTTCCTCCTATCATTCTCTCTCTGCCCGGAAGTCCACCTGTCTCTCCTGCCTAGCTATTGGCCGTTCAGCTTTTTATTACAACAACCACAGCAATATATCTTCACAGTGTACAAATATCCCACAAAAGCTCTGGGCTTAGTGAGAGCACTGAGCTGGCATCAGCCATGATGGATTTCAAGTCAACAATTTCAGCATACACCCAGAAAGGAGCCTCTGCACTAGTGAATTGAATCACTCTCTGTTTGCTTTGATGCCATCCTTCGGCCTTTGTAGTTGAACTTAGGACATCCAAATTTGTTATTTCATCATTGATGTATACATTTGGAGGGCAGTTTAGTGAAAGTATAGTTTGTTTAACTCAAACATGCCACTCTCACTTACAGAAACCACCAGAATCCCCCGCTTTTTCATAGTCTAGGTCTAATCCTTTCCCTGCAACATGGTTTCAGAGAATTGACAGCTGACTGATTTGCTTTTAGAGGGTCCCAGAATGGTACAAGAATTTTTTGTTTGTTTTTGAAAAGACAGGTTCAGGTTTTTAGAAGTTTTAATATTTATCATCTTGCACTAGCATATTGCAAATGAGTTTGTGTGCTGTTTGATTTATTTAAAATGTTGTAGTTGACGTGGCTAGCTGAAAGACAAATTTGATGCCAAGCAAGGGTAGACAACTTATGACTCAGTGTACCTTTCCTATGGGTCCCTGCAGGGCTGGAGGTCCGGTGGGTGGACTGCTACTTTCCCTTTACCCATCCTTCCTTCGAGATGGAGATCAACTTCCGTGGAGAATGGCTTGAAGTCCTTGGCTGTGGAGTGATGGAACAGCAGCTTGTCAATTCAGGTAGGACAGAACCCCGCACTAAATTTACAGGTTTCCTAGAGGACCTGTCTATTCTCATGTGACCTCATTTGCACAATCACCTACAGTTGTGTCACCAGGGACAGTATCACCAGCTTCTCCAAGAATGCCCACAAGACCCGTCTCTGATGCTGGGCTTGTCACTCCTCATTTTGCAAATGTGTCCTATCTTTGGAGATCCCTCTTGTCAGCTCTTGGCAGCTAGATCTGCATCTTAGGATTCTGTACTCATTGGAGGGGTTGGGGAGGGTTTTGTAATTGCCCCAAAGGCATTTATATATATGTGTCACATGAGTGCAGTTTGTCTTCCCAGCTATTCAGGAATAAAGCTAATACATAATCCTGTTTTGTTCTTATTGCATTCAGTTCAGTAGCCGGAATTCAGGAGAGATTTTATAACTACACTACGGCATAAAATAAAACCACATAGGCCCATGTTACTGAGTTGCTCCCCACTGTCAGCAAAGGTATTACCGTCAAGTGAAAGAACCCAGACAGACATGGAGCTAATTAAATTCTAACCAAACTTGAGAAAGCTCTTTGCAACTCTTTCCTAGGGGACCGTTAACTAATAAAAATGACACCATTTAGACTTGGTTTCAGAATTGTGCATTTTAAAAATATGACTATATGAATTTAATTATGAAAGGTTTTTTTTTAGGGCTAGGGATGTAGCTTAGTTAGTCAAGGCTTGCCTAACATGCATAAAGTCCTGGATTTGATCCTCAGCACTACATAAAACTGAACATGGTGATGTAGGTCTCTAATCCCAGTACTCAGGAGGTAGAGGTAGAAGGATCAGAAGTTCAAGGACATCCTCAGCCATGTAGTGAGTTCAAGAGCAACCTGTGATACATGAAAACATCCTCAAACACACGAAAATAAATATGTATTTGTATGTAGATATATGTTGTGGAGTCTGGTTTTTTTAGTGAACGTTGAGAGATTAGTCAGCCGAGCACCAAACAGAGAGGAGCTGATGTGGGTTTTTGTCTGCTCACTGTCCTCTAGCCCTGCCCTCTGCATTTGGCCCTGGAAAAGAGGCATTTGCCTTGTGATCTTAAAATGCAATTTTGGCTTGAGTTGGGTGCAGAGCCCTCTGCTTCAGGGTAGACAAGAGTACATCATTCTTGGTGACTAATACATTTGGACAGACTGTGATTAAGGGCACGGTACCAGTTCATGGTGAAGTGAGACAGGAGACAAGGTGGCATGAGTTTTAACTGTCTCTGTGTAAGAGGTTGAATGCCTGCTCCCTCTTCTTCTTCTTGTTAGTTGGTGAGGCCCGCTTTACCTGGTAGTAAGTCACTAAAATAATGAACTTTGAAAAAGAAAAAGAATTCATTCCCAAGATGCCATATGTGAGGAGGCAGGAGCCCCAATCTCTAATCTGCCTCTGCGAGAATAGGGCTCTAGAGTATTATGGAATAAAGAAGTGGGTGGTTGAGAAGAAGGGAAAGGGGATTAAAGACAGGGTAGGGCAGAGTGAGCTGATCAGTCTGCTGCCCAGGAATTTTGTACTCATGGCTCTTCAAAAGATGCATATTCGGGAAATGTTGGTGTTTGGTTTTTCTGAAGGTGGAGTTTTGAGTCTTTAAATCTAAGGTCACTCATCAGACACCTGTGCAGATCTGAATGAAGGCTTGATATCTTCAACCTGTTTGTAGTAAAGCAAAGCTACTTAAGCAGTTAGCATATCCTAGGGTGTAGATGTAAGTTTTCTCTGGCCCTGCCTGGCCCCATGGTCCCACAGATGCTTATAAAATAATCACTCTGAGGCTTAATATTATTTACAATCTGTATGGCCTATGGCAACCTTCTTGCTAGCTAGCTAGCTCTTATAACTTAACCCGTTTATATTTGTCTTTAAGTTGCTACATGGCTATGGCTTACTGGTACTTTCACATCTTGCTTCTCCTGGTGGTGCTGGTGTCTCCCTCGCCTTTGCCTTTCTTCCTCTCTCTCTCTCTCTCTCTCTCTCTCTCTCTCTCTCTCATTTCCTGCCTGGCTATAGCCTGACTCACCATAGGCCAGAGCAGCTTCTTTATTTACCAATCATAGCAACGCATATTCATAGCGTACAGAAAGACATCCCACAGCACTAGGGCAGTGACCGCATCTCAGCAGTGTTACTGTTAACAAAGCCCATGGTTATACCATGTAGATATGTGACCTCATAATTGATGATGATGATGATGATGATGATGATGATGATGATGATCACAGCGAATGGCAAAGCCAGGGGAGTCCCAGAATCTGTCTAGGTTTCCCTGGCTTTCTTTCTGCAGGGGATCTCTGCACAGAGCCAAAGTCTTCATAGACAACTTTTGAATGTATGGAAGGCTGCCCTAGGGTTGAAGTATGGAAATAGAGCCTGAGGGTAAAAGTCCTGAGTGGCCCTTGGGTCGTTAGAAACTCAGACTGATTGTTAAAGCTCTGATCTGCAACAGCTGAATATATGAGGTACTTTATTCATGTCCTGTGACCCTTGGTTTGCTTGAAGTTGAAGTGGACACAACAATGTCATTTTTAAAGTTCTTTTGTCAAAAGTTGTTGAGGTAATGTGTGAAAAGTGTTTAACAAAAAATCTGACATATAGTAACAATTCAGTAGAGATTAATTTTCCATGTTTTACCATTCAGAATTTTGCTAATGGTCAGAGCCATTTATCAACAGAGGGACTCCATAATAGGAAGTATTACAAAAGCTGCCTTCCATGTCCCAGAGTCTATTTCCTACTCAGCAGAACTTCTTCCTTAATAATCTATAGTTATTTCTGTGTCCAGATTCTCGTTTGAATGGATGATATATATGAGAGAAAAATTAAAGAAAGATAAGAAGGGCAGGAAGCCTCAAAATGTTCTAAGTATGGTAAGTCTAAAGCAGTGGTTCTCAACCTTCCTAATCTGTGACCCTTTAATACAGTTCCTCATGATCCCCAAACACAAAATTATTTTCATTGCTACTTCATGACTATAATTTTGCTACTGTTATGAATTATAATATAAATATCTCATATACAAGGTATTTGATATGTGACCCCTGTAGTGGTTGTGACTCACAGATTGAGAACCCTGGTCTAAAGATGGACTTCAGATGTACCTGTGGCCTTCTGTTTGCCTTACAGGAGATTTGAATGAGTTCTAGCCTTTCTCCCTCAAGTTTCTTCTCAGAGGTCCAGAGCTAAGACATAAAACATGGCTAATTGGATGGTGGTATCAGTTGTTCCTTGGAATCTCTCATTCATGTGTTTTGTGATGTTTCCTCCCACAATAATTGGCTCAGAATATTCATTATTGTCCACCAGTGACACTGCTGATCTGGAAGTTGAGCCTTGCCAGATACCCTTGAAAGGTAATGGCAAAGTAACAAACAAGAATGAAGCAATGTGATGTGTGGTGATGATAGGATGTGCTCAAGTTGTTGCAAAGTTGTATGCATGAAATTTAAGCATTTTACAGAGAGGGAGACTGAAGCAATGGAAGAAGAGTTGATACTATAAAAGCATGTCTGTGTAGGATTTGCTGCTTGAACTTGAAGTTAGGATGACAAACTCCTTCAGTGTTCTTAGACTTGAATGTGTTTTGATAGAAATTTTAAACTGTGTGTTTGGCTGTCCTAACCACAGACATTATTTGCTGAATACAAGTGATTTTATTTTCTGAATATCTGCATCCCGAAGAGATTGGCTGTGTGTACAGCATCTCTGTATTTCACCATGCTGTTTGCCTGCCCCTTCTACATGTTCTTTCTTTCTTGGTCTCTGCTTTCTCTTCCTGATCTCTCTATTCCTCCAACAGTCCTTTCTCTCCTGAGAGAGAACTTTCTGTTTTGTTTTGGTGTTTTTAAGATCAGGTCTCATGTAGCCTATGTGATCCTTACACTTGCAGTATAGTTAAGTCTGACTTTGAATTTCTGCTTCTCCTGCCGCATTTTCTCAGTGCTGAGAAATGTACAAGTGAGAACTACCATGTTCAGCTTAAGAGAAAACTAGAAACAATGCGATACAATACCAGTTTTCGATCTTGTAGAAGATTGGGTGAGTGCCTAGATAACCAAATAGTAAAGGGGCCAATGATGAAGCAGTGATGGTTAGCAGATGTCTGAGCCCTTGATTAAGCAGTTGATTTCAGAACATATGCTTTCTATGCTGTTTGCCACATAAACATGCTAGCAAAGCTCTGAGGTAGATTTTATTGTAATCCCCATTTTCATTTTGTCTAAGACAGGAGAACCTGATCAAATAGCTAGCTTTCTAGGACTTGTGGAACTTGCCTCTCTTTCTGATAGTAGTTAACCATTGTCATGATTGCTTAGTTTTCAACTTGACACAGCTAGTATGGGAAGAGGGATCACAGTTGTGAAAATACGTTCATCAGATTGACCCATAGACAAGTCTGTGGAGACATTTTCTTGATTAATGATTGATATGGGAAGGCCAAGTTCACTGGGGCAATGCCATCTCTGGACTGGTAGTCCTGGGTTGTATAGGAAAACAAACTGAGCAAGCCAAGAGGAACAAGCCAGTAGGTACCATTCCTCCATGGTCCCTGCTTCAGTTCTGGCTTCCAGGTTTCTGCCCCGAGTTCCTGCCCTAACTTCTGGTTATGAAAGACTACAAATTATAAAGTGAAATAAACTTTTTATTTCCAACTTGTTTTTGTCACAGCAATAGAAATTAAACTTAAGAAAGCCATGAGGTGATGCTACCCAAATAGTGAAGCGAAGATTTTTTCAGAGGTCAAAATTGATTTTTAACAACCCATTCTTCCTAACATGAAATAAGAATGGAAACCAATGGAACAGATGGGGCACACGTCTTCACTTGTTTTCTAATTGGTTACTTAAAAGAAGGGCTTTGCTACCTTGTGTGTTATCTGTGATACAATACATACTCTTTTTTAAACATAATCTTTCTATTGATTCTTTTGGGAATTTTACATCATGCATCCCAATTTCACTCATTTCCCAGTCCTTCCATG